AAATAGTTTAGGTTTAGCCTGTACATGCAAAACATGTACCTTCCGGGCATGCTTGAAACTATTCAAACAGAAAGCCAACAGAAAAGACATCAATCTGGAACGTATAGTTTTTATATGAAATGTCAAAGATACTTTGAGGGTTTGAAGACGTACTAATGACATTCATTTTCTAAAGACAGTGGTTAAGCTAGAACAGAACCATTGTTCTAATAGAATTGTGCAAGTTGTGAAAGACTCATGGCCAATGAATAATCAATCATATGTACTTAAAACAAGGTTCAGGTTATCGATCAAACATGCAATGCAGCTGTTTATTCTAGTGCCATCAGCAATAAGTAACAGTCTCTAGATGTGATGGAATGGCACTCACGAATTCTCAGAACATCACTGACTGTCTTGAGAGAGGTCCGTTTGGAATTTTGTTCTGACAACCAGAATAGCTGGAAGCTGACAAGAATTCGATGTTTCCAATTAGGCATCCAAGCGGCATTTAGCGCCTACGTAAAAACTGGTCAGGTCACAATGACATGGAATCGCTTTCTTTTGGCTCAGTCAGCTCTTTTGAAACTGTCCGTCCAGAAAATTCTCGGCGATCAAACCTATAAGATCACTCACTCCTCAGACACAGGTCACTCCCTCAAGCCATATGTTGACAAATTATTGATTGTCAACAAATAATTAAATATGGTCATGCTTAGCATTCATTTTGGGTTTGATATTGTACATGACATATCAAACACTTTAGTCTCTATAGTGGGACTGATATTTACTGCTTATTTGTTTGTGTCTCATTTCACTGAACTTTTTTCAATCTGCTCGAAGATATTTCATACTGTAAAGGTAATTTTGATAATATCCTCTGGCTAATTATTAAATATCTGTCATATGACAAGGACGAGGTCTCCCGGGAGTAGTGTTAGGTATGTTATATTATGTTACGTTTTTTTGTTTCAATTATATTTTAAAGTGTTTTTAATCATTTGTAAGATACCATGCTCAATACAATTATATTTGGATGCGTAAATGAGAAGTGAGGTGCCATCTTTCATTGTACAAACTGATTAGCTGTCTCGTTTACAGTTTACTTGACTATGGCAGAAAGGGTATGCGAAACAAAGACGACTACTCGTAGAATATGCATGAGGATCTCGCCAAGCGTTAAGCAACTCGTGCCAAAGCGAACGAGAACAATTCACAAAGTGTTGCATATTCTGAATGTCATCCTGACCCTTGGTCATAGAGGCGCCTCCTTGAAACATGATTCGCTGCTGACAGTGGACACACCCGATACTGACCAGTAAAGTGACCGCCGGCCTCGTGACGCGATTGGGGTTATTTCCCACGATAGTCAGTGAAGGTATTACGTTGGTATATACGCAGTGTTTTCACTGAATAATTTACCCGGTATTCTTTTCTACACACAAATTGCAAACATTACAATATGGTGTGAACAAGTCATCCTGTCATTTCAAATGCCGCCGATCTTTCTGAATCAATAAAACAGCAATCACAAAATCTCAGCATGAGGTTTCAATTGTCATTCATGTTGAATTTTCATCATGAGCTTTAAAATTCAAACCTATGTACTATTTTTTTTAACTTCACTCAAATCAATTATTCCTCAAAGAAACTGTATTGTAAAAGCTATTTACAGATGACAGTGTTCTATGTTATTTATGTTTCAGGACGTAATGTATCTTGTAAACGTTATCTACAGATGACAGTGTTCTATGTTATTTATGTTTCAGGACGTAATGTATCTTGTAAACGTTATCTACAGATGACAGTGTTCTATGTTATTTATGTTTCAGGACGTAATGTATCTTGTAAACGTTATCTACAGATGACAGTGTTCTATGTTATTTATGTTTCAGGACGTAATGTGTCTTGTGAACGTTATCTACAGATGACAGTGTTCTATGTTATTTATGTTTCAGGACGTAATGTATCTTGTAAACGTTATCTACAGATGACAGTGTTCTATGTTATTTATGTTTCAGGACGTAATGTGTCTTGTGAACGTTATCTACAGATGACAGTGTTCTATGTTATTTATGTTTCAGGACGTAATGTATCTTGTAAACGTTATCTACAGATGACAGTGTTCTATGTTATTTATGTTTCAGGACGTAATGTGTCTTGTAAACGTTATCTACAGATGACAGTGTTCTATGTTATTTATGTTTCAGGACGTAATGTATCTTGTAAACGTTATCTACAGATGACAGTGTTCTATGTTATTTATGTTTCAGGACGTAATGTATCTTGTAAACGTTATTTACAGATGACAGTGTTCTATGTTATTTATGTTTCAGGACGTAATGTATCTTGTAAACGTTATCTACAGATGACAGTGTTCTATGTTATTTATGTTTCAGGACGTAATGTATCTTGTAAACGTTATCTACAGATGACAGTGTTCTATGTTATTTATGTTTCAGGACGTAATGTATCTTGTGAACGTTATCTACAGATGACAGTGTTCTATGTTATTTATGTTTCAGGACGTAATGTATCTTGTAAACGTTATCTACAGATGACAGTGTTCTATGTTATTTATGTTTCAGGACGTAATGTATCTTGTAAACGTTATCTACAGATGACAGTGTTCTATGTTATTTATGTTTCAGGACGTAATGTGTCTTGTAAACGTTATCTACAGATGACAGTGTTCTATGTTATTTATGTTTCAGGACGTAATGTATCTTGTAAACGTTATCTACAGATGACAGTGTTCTATGTTATTTATGTTTCAGGACGTAATGTATCTTGTAAACGTTATTTACAGATGACAGTGTTCTATGTTATTTATGTTTCAGGACGTAATGTATCTTGTAAACGTTATCTACAGATGACAGTGTTCTATGTTATTTATGTTTCAGGACGTAATGTATCTTGTAAACGTTATTTACAGATGACAGTGTTCTATGTTATTTATGTTTCAGGACGTAATGTATCTTGTAAACGTTATTTACAGATGACAGTGTTCTATGTTATTTATGTTTCAGGACGTAATGTATCTTGTGAACGTTATCTACAGATAACAGTGTTCCATGTTAAAGGATGCGGATGCCTACTGTTTAAATCATATACAGACCACAGTGTTCTATAATGCCAATGTCTTAGGATGAGGATGTTTATTGTAAGCAATATTTACAGATCACAGCGTTATACCCGCGTCAAAGACATCGGTAGTAAATGTATAATGTATGCATTTATGAAAACAATGACGTATTACGTATTATCACAAGCAACTGTTTTCATGAAAATCTAAGGGTTTCTTTGTTTCCTGACGCCACACAGCAATACTACTATGCAGCGACTTCCTGATCTAAAGCGTTTGTTGTATGATCCGCATCAGGCCAGAGCTTAGTTAAAACTAAGGATCTTCGGTTATTTCGATATAAATATACTCATGCCAATAATGGTTGTCACCCCCCCTCCCCACCCCAACCCTCCACACCTCACAACCCCCGTCCACACCCCCTCTCCAATTAAAACAATTGAAGGGGATGACAACCATTATTGGCATGAGTATATAATGGTAAGACAGTAAATCTAAATTATATCTGCATGTACAGTAGAACACGGATATAACGAACTCCAAGGGACCAAGAAATTTAGTTCGCTATATCCGTTGTTCGTTATTCACATTTGACCGCCATCTTGGATTGTAGAGATGTAGACATTCACAGACATTACCTATATCATGTTGATAAATATGAAGTTTATTTTTATAATAAAATTGAAGTTTATTTTTATAATAAAATTGAAATAATACAACTACAACTTTAATATTTATTTTTTAATGAAAATGCAAGCTTACATTTATAATGTCCAGATAAACCACGAAAGAAGCAAAAACTGTAGCGATTTTTTTTTCCATTTGTGACATGTCATAACATGCCCGTGCCTTTTTTCTTTATATTTTCATATTTATGTAATCAGGCTTTCGGTTCGTTAACATGACAAAACAACGGGAAATACCTCCGTTTTCGAAGCTTCGTATGAATAACATGCGAGGCGAATCGTGTGGTGTCTGGTATCGTTCGACAGCTCTGGAACATCAACAATATCACTGTACCCTCGCCGAGAGTATTTTCACATTTGTAAAAAGCGATTTTATTGGATAAAGATTGGTTTCTAATGACGCTTTATCGCCACAGTCTGCTATAAGGATCGTGATTGGTCAAAATCAGACACGTGACCTAAGGCAGCCAATCATACTCTTCACTTCAGTTCATTTTCACCCACAGAAACGATTTATTAACTACTTCATAACTAGAAGGTACAACTGTTTCTTCAAGACCGTTTGACAAATGGTTTCCGGAACTGAACATGCCGGATCCCTCGCGCTGTAATTATAACGACACGCGAAGAGAAACATCGAGTGATATGCCAGTGGGAGTGTGACTTGGTTCAACAGTTCTTGACAGACATCACAAAGCATTAGTTAAATTCCTTTTACTATCAATGTTGAAAAATCTCTAGACCGTAGAAACACATTCGACTATTATATTTAGGGGATAACTGTACTGTGTTTGACGAATTGGGGACATATACCGGTGGTTATATAGCCGCAAATTTAGTTATATTGGCGACGCGCAAGCGGAGCCGATATAATGTTAAATTTGCGGCTATATTATAACCAGCGGTATACGTCCCCAATTCGTCAAACACAGTACAGTTATCCCCATTCTAATTCAACTCGTTTTACGCTGTTTTTCGTGAAAGAAATTCATTATTTAAACCAGGTCAAAGCGGTCAAAGGTTATTTATTAATCACACTCTTGCAGAGAAAGTAGTTCCTTTTCAAACTACACACGTTTATTATGTTACAACATGTTGATAAAATGGACATACAACAAGTTGCCATTATCAGTCTTGTCAGACGTTGCGTCACGCTCCACACATGATCTAGGCCAACAGTTGTATACAATTTTGTTACGTTGCATACAACAAGTTGCGTGAGATCTCGTTTATAATTTTCATGTTGAGATCTCGTTTTACATGTTGCTTAGCAACGCACTGTAGAAACTAGCATACGGTCATGGCGTCCCTATACAACAGCGATAGTGATGACGATGTACTGGAAGCGGCGGTTGTCGCAATGCTCGTTGATTTTAACCATGGCAAAGCCGACCGTTCGTGCTGGGTCCGTCCCTGGATTGCAAGACGAAGTGATCTAGGAGCTTATAAAGCTTTAATGAGGGAACTTGAAGCTGAGGACACAAAAAGTTTTGTCAATTTCTTACGCATGGACAGAGAGAGTTTTGATCAACTGCTGGGCAGAGTGTCACCGATGATAACCAAAGCTGATACACCCATGCGTGATTCTATACCCCCTGGAGAAAAACTCGCCATCACACTTCGATATTTGGCCACAGGTAGGGCTATGAACAGTCATAATTTCATGAATTATAGTTAATGTATCACACAGATCACCTACTGTTCGTCGATCAGCTGTTTTGTGTTTGTCAATAAGCGTGGCAATCTATAAATAAACCAACCACTCCTGACTGCGTTAGCACCAAATGCTTGAGTGCAAAGCCGCTGTCCCTAACCCTGTAAAGAGTATTATGAGGCTTCCGAAGGTGTGCCATCTGTATACGCTCAATAACTTTTTGATTATTCTGACTGAATCATCTGTGTTTTCTTTTTATTTAGGTGACAGTTACAAGTCTCTAGAATTCTTGTATCGGGTACCAAAGAACACAATTTGCAATTTCGTCCCTCAAGTGTGTGTGGCAATTTATGAAACTCTCAAGAAGGACTTTCTGAAGGTGAGGTGCATGTCAACACTTGAATTCTTGATATATTTTCCCCATGTTTAAACGATGACTAAATAAATCAATAAGCTGTAATGAAACACAATGTGTATTTACTAATAGGTTTAACTTCTGTAGTTCTGTGTAAACGTTGTTATTATGACTTCATGACTTTTTTTCAGATGTCCAAGCATTATGAGGAAAACGAATAAATCCCATGTGATTTATCGAAAAAATACTATTAATACTCATCATCTCAAAGCACTCTTGTGTAAACATAATATTATATAACTTACGTTTTTCACCTGTAGGGCTTTGTAATGAATCGGTTTGCTTCACTTGGTGTAAAAATCTACATAAATTACTGTAACAAAGCTAACACACTCCCAATGATATTTGAACACCACTCACACTGAAGTACAACAGAAAAGCCTTAATAACATGAATTATAATTTATTATTTAAACTGGCTGACAAATGTCTTGGGAAAAAGCTTTGCAGCTGACCTGAAATACATATTCTTTGCATATATTAGGATTTCAAGTCAAGCTTCATATAATTATCTCAATGAGTTATCATTAAGGACAGATGGCATGTGCATAATACATATAAAATCTTATTCTTCATTTTGATATTCAAAAATAAGTTGTTGAACTTTAATTTTCAATTCATTCCTTTTACTTAGATTGGAAACTCGGGCCATCTCTGATGCCAAATATTTGGCAAAACATAGTTCTCCATTATTTTCACTTTGTGATCTTCTGTTTTCAATTGACTTAAGAGTAGCCAAAACTTGGAGGGGAACACTGTCCTGTCGCTTTTTTTAGATGGGGTGGTGGAGTACAATCTATGGTTTCAGCCTGCGCATTGTCTGGTTCCACATTTTCCTCCTCTTGAACCACTTGTTCCACTTGACTGGGTCCATCCTGCTCAGTTGACAGTATGTTGGTTTCCTGTCACATAAAATTGGTAGTGTAAGTATATGGTATTATTTCGAAAAATATATTTTTAAAATATCTCAAATTGATTTCAGGTGCCACAGTCAGAAGAAGAATGGCTGCAAGTTGCAGAGGGATTTGAGAAGTGGCAGTTTCCACACTGTATTGGTGCTTTGGATGGAAAGCATATATCTATAAAATCACCTGCCAAATCAGGATCACTCTACTACAACTATAAAAACTTTTTTAGCATTGTACTCCTAGCTCTTGTTGATTCTAACTACAGATTTGTGTATGTAGATGTTGGTGCAAATGGTAGGTCATGTGATGCAGGTATATTTGCCAATTCATCACTGAATCAGGCACTGAACAGTAACTCCTTGAAAATTCCAGGTCCAAAGCCATTGTCTGGAAGATGTCTTGATACTCCCTATGTGATTGTTGGGGACGATGCCTTTCCACTAAAAGATAACATCATGAAGCCATATCCCCACCGGGACTTAGTTATGGAAAGGAAAGTATTCAATTACAGACTTTCCAGAGCCAGACGTGTATCAGAAAATGCTTTTGGTATACTGACCAACCGCTTTGGAGTATTTCAAAGGAGCTTATCATTAACACCTGAGACATGTACAAAGGTTGTTCTTGCATGTATTGCTCTACACAACTTTCTGTGTACAACAAAAGACAAAAAATACACAGAAACAGAAGTTTTTCCACTGGATAATGGAAGCAGGCCCCAATCACTACTTCAACAGGGTGGCAACAGGAGTGCCGATAATGCAAGGCAGATTAGGGAAGAATTTGCAGATTATTTCTGTTCTAATGGCCAAGTTGATTGGCAGTGGGATCACATTGTCTGATCCTATGCATGAAGTCAAATGAAGTGTTCATATGGAACAAGCTATTTTCAGCCATACCTGCAGCTATTTTCCAAGTCCAATACAGTAAAATGGCACTAATTATTTGATTTATTCATGTTCAGCTTATGTCAATGCTGACAGTAACTTGTTTTATGTAATTAATAATATTTTGTAATATATATCTATCCATACCAATGGATGTACATGGTTTATTAAAAGTTTACATTCTTACAATACTAACCAAGTTACTTATAGTTGTTTTTTGATGAACCTGGCTTCTAAGAAAAGGATCCAACAGCTTAAACCATTCCCAGGTAGACTCATAAATATCATCTCGACCAGCCCCACTTTTCCGGGAGAGGGTTTCCTTCCTTAGTTCCTTGCAATAGTAGGTCCGCAGAGCAGAAATCTTAACTGGTACCTGATCCGCTATAATAGAAAATTTATAGGCCTAAACATCATCATTGGTTGAAAAACAGTCAGAAGAATGTCCAGTTATCTTATGTTCATATTTAAAACCAATTTACTTAACATGATTAAACATGAACAAGAAATAAATTTAGAATAAACATTTAATGTAAATATTCAAGACCAATTAATTACCCCCCGTTGAAAGCCTCACCAAATATAGGTCATTCTGCGAGAACCACGTAAACTGACAGATACTCGGTCAATGTTTTCGGTAAAATGTTGCGTTATTATAATAAAATGAAACCTTTATAAATGGATCTTTTCATATTGTACATATGTTTTTTTTACCAAAAAACCATCAACAATGCTTCTAAATTGCCTAAATTTGTACTGATAGCAGGCTGTGGTTCAATGTTTGTGTTTTGGTTGTACAGTCAGACCTCGTCTATCCGAACTTCAGATGAATGATCGAGATTATGAATCGTGAGATCTGGTTCGCCATCGATGATAATGTGGGCGATACTTCATGACAAAATTTAGGTAAAGTCATACTAAATTTGTTAAGCAAAGAAGTAAGATTAGTTTATCAAATAGAAGCACGTCGAATATATTTCTGTCACTCACCTGTCATAACACCGTTCATCAGTTCGGAAATGGAAACGTAGGCGGCCTGTCTGTGTTCCCGTTTTGAATAAAACGAACTAGACACATTCCAAAGACACTCGTGGGAATGGTAGTATGAAATAAACCTTTCAATGTCATGGTTGCTGAGGTCAATTTTTTCTTTAACATTTTTCCGGCGTTGTTGTGTCGTCCGTTGTTGTGGTATCGCCATGTTTGATGTCTCCGTAAATATCACGTGCATACGAAACGCGATCTGATTGGCCAGAACCGTACAACTTGTCGCATGGAAATAGAGCAAGTTCTATTCCTTGCAACTCGCTTGCAACTTGTTGCATGCAACAAAAATCTGTCCAACTCCCCTGTTCACACTGTGAAATTTGTTGCATGCCACAAGTTTTATACAACTAGTTGCAACGTGTGAACGCACCTTAAGTTGTTTAAACTTATAATTAAATTTATGATACTGTTTTGTCTTTTTATACACAAATTCCACCCATTTTAGGTGGATAGGGGAGTTAATTGACCAATGGCTTCTGCAAATGACAATGTCCTGCGAAACAGCGTTACCCCAATAGTGTAGGGATACATTCAAAGTTTTCGGTAAATCGGTTTTCATATTGCGACCGTATATGCTGATTATACGGTCGGAAATTTATAGCATTGACCAATCAGAACTCGTGTTACATACTAAGTTGAATTAGAATGAATTATATTGCTTTCGCGTATCTGATGCAATCCTGCTCCTGCGACATGTACCCAAAATATGGTTTACGGGCCCAAAACATTTAATGATGTTCTTCAATGACAATAAATACATGTAGGGGAATTATTGACCGTGCTTGTACATAACTAAATGTTACTCTAATGCTTATCTTCACCAGACAGCTTATTAGGCGGTCACAGACGCAGTTTGTCTTCCACCTGCGTGATCCAGTGAGATTATCTACTATATCCCTCTGAAATAAACCGTATAGCCTGTTGGTGCTCAATATTTCAGCAAGGAAAATGTTCACTTTTCTCCAGGGCCGTTTTTCTGAAATTTTATCTCGTAAACATAACGATAATGTTGAACTGGTTCAGACATGTTGTCATCACATTCCTCACAAAACGGTGATCTTTCCTTATCAACAACACGTGTGTGCACAGTGACCAAGACGACGTTTAGTTAAGACAACTGCATTACGTCTCTTACGAATTTCACATTTTTGTGTAGGCTACCTGAAGGTGTCTTCCAGTAGAACCAACGTCCAACACGTGTTGCCAATTTATGGTGACCGATGATGCCATTTTTGAAATCCTGACGGCCTGAATTCATAACGATCAACCTCATCTTACATCAATACCGACCTGTCGCGCTTATTTGCTATTTAGTTAGCCTGTCAAACTTACATGCTGAAAAGAGTTATCTCCCCTCACCATTTAATCTGCACAAACGTTGAGTGGGAGTCGAGTCCCTCCTATATGACGGAAATGCGTTGAGGAGAGAGACAATGACAATGATAGAGGAGACATATATTCCAGAACACCACGAATACGCCAATACACCATGGACGCCCAGGATCAATGAAATAACATTACTCTCGAACCGACCCTCTGGGTATAATAAATATCAGCTTCATTATAGTCGCAGCATCACAACAACTCTCGGAACCCATCGTCTCCAGTACCAACAGCATCACAGCTGGAGGGGGTACAGAGACAAGCATCTGGTGTTGACTGTGAGATACACTCTCGGAGCCCATCGTCTCCAGTACCAACAGCATCACAGCTGGAGGGGGTACAGAGACAAGCATCTGGTGTTGACTGTGGGATACACTCTCGGAGCCCATCGTCTCCAGTACCAACAGCATCACAGCTGGAGGGGGTACAGAGACAAGCATCTGGTGTTGACTGTGGGATACACTCTCGGAGCCCATCGTCTCCAGTACCAACAGCATCACAGCTGGAGGGGGTACAGAGACAAGCATCTGGTGTTGACTGTGGGATACACTCTCGGAGCCCATCGTCTCCAGTACCAACAGCATCACAGCTGGAGGGGGTACAGAGACAAGCATCTGGTGTTGACTGTGGGATACACTCTCGGAGCCCATCGTCTCCAGTACCAACAGCATCACAGCTGGAGGGGTACAGAGACAAGCATCTGGTGTTGATTGTGGGATACACTCTCGGAGCCCATCGTCTCCAGTACCAACAGCATCACAGCTGGAGGGGGTACAGAGACAAGCATCTGGTGTTGACTGTGGGATACACTCTCGGAGCCCATCGTCTCCAGTACCAACAGCATCACAGCTGGAGGGTACAGAGACAAGCATCTGGTGTTGACTGTGGGATACACTCTCAGAGCCCATCGTCTCCAGTACCAACAGCATCACAGCTGGAGGGGTACAGAGACAAGCATCTGGTGTTGACTGTGGGATACACTCTCGGAGCCCATCGTCTCCAGTACCAACAGCATCACAGCTGGAGGGGGTACAGAGACAAGCATCTGGTGTTGACTGTGGGATACACTCTCGGAGCCCATCGTTTCGAGTGCCAACAGCATCACAGCTGGAGGGGGTACAGAGACAAGCATCTGGTGTTGACTGTGAGATACACTCTCGGAGCCCATCGTCTCCAGTACCAACAGCATCACAGCTGGAGGGGGTACAGAGACAAGCATCTGGTGTTGACTGTGGGATACACTCTCGGAGCCCATCGTCTCCAGTACCAACAGCATCACAGCTGGAGGGGGTACAGAGACAAGCATCTGGTGTTGACTGTGGGATACACTCTCGGAGCCCATCGTCTCCAGTACCAACAGCATCACAGCTGGAGGGGGTACAGAGACAAGCATCTGGTGTTGACTGTGAGATACACTCTCGGAGCCCATCGTCTCCAGTACCAACAGCATCACAGCTGGAGGGGGCACAGAGACAAGCATCTGGTGTTGACTGTGGGATACACTCTCGGAGCCTATCGTTTCGAGTGCCAACAGCATCACAGCTGGAGGGGGTACAGAGACAAGCATCTGGTGTTGACTGTGAGATACACTCTCGGAGCCCATCGTCTCCAGTACCAACAGCATCACAGCTGGAGGGGGTACTCTCGGAGCCCATCGTCTCCAGTACCAACAGCATCACAGCTGGAGGGGGTACAGAGACAAGCATCTGGTGTTGACTGTGAGATACACTCTCGGAGCCCATCGTCACCAGTACCAACAGCATCACAGCTGGAGGGGGTACAGTGACAAGCATCTGGTGTTGACTGCGGGATACACTCTCGGAGCCCATCGTCTCCAGTACCAACAGCATCACAGCTGGAGGGGGTACAGAGACAAGCATCTGGTGTTGACTGTGGGATACACTCTCGGAGCCCATCGTCTCCAGTACCAACAGCATCACAGCTGGAGGGGGTACAGAGACAAGCATCTGGTGTTGACTGTGGGATACACTCTCGGAACCCATCGTCTCCAGTACCAACAGCATCACAGCTGGAGGGGGTACAGAGACAAGTATCTGGTGTTGACTGTGGGATACACTCTCGGAACCCATCGTCTCCAGTACCACCAGCGCCATAGAAGAGGGAACGTTTATGTTACCATATTTAGAGAGGGCCAGGTTCAAACACGTCTACGTTTCGCTTTAAAAAGGATTGAATTACAATTTTATTAAACTGATCTCATTTCCGAAATATCGACTCTGCTATGCTGACAATGGAACAGAATCCACTGTAAATATTCCATGAAATGAGAAAATTTATTCAAACACATAGAATTACAAAATATCCACAAAACTCTGTTAATTTTACGTAGGATGTAGTTGAGGCGAAAATTCACTTTCGCGAGAAGAAGTCCTCACCAACGCTCTATCAAGATAGAAGCGCTGATATTAAGTTAAAGATTATGGCTTATCAATTGTTGTTGTTTATGAGTGAGGGAGTATGGTTTTAAGCCGCTTTTAGCAATATTCCAGAAATATCTTGGCGGGGAACACCAGGAATAGGTTAACACATCGTGCACAAAAGAATCATCGAACCCGTGCGCTCGGCGTGATGAGCGGATGATTTAAACACTGCCCAAGTGTCGTTTACGAATATGTGGGTTGGCGTATCTCAGTGCGATTTAGTAACGATCAATGATAAACAGATACTGTACACGTTCGAAGTTCACCATGGATCCAAATAGGTAGCTGCCAAACGTAGATGAGTGAAGGCAAGGCGCGCGTCCTCCTTAAAACAGTTTTTAAAGAACCCCCTTGCGTGCCAAACAAGCGAACGGAAGCTCTAACCATACCCTTGCAGCAAGCTCTGGGTATTTAATAGGTTCTGGTTTCTCGATCCCAGCGTGACAATAGGCAAGGTTGTCTGTAATAAAACAAGATAACAGCTATTAGTAGTTTATTTCCAGCTACAGGTCGGACAATCGACTGCAATGTCAGACACGGAGGAGGTCTCGGATGCAGCATAAAAACACTGTGAAACAGGAACCTAAGCAACACTCCTCGGATTTCACTGGCGAAAACAACCTCTTTTCTGTCTAATGATGATTGCGGCGTAAAGCTTACATCACTCACTCACTCTAATGATGATCTTGTGGACATCATACAGTAAAGTACGTTTATAATATAAAGGGAGAGAGAGAGAGAGAGAGAGAGAGAGAGAGAGAGAGAGAGAGAGAGAGAGAGAGAGAGAGAGAGAGAGAGAGAGAGAGAGAGAGAGAGAGAGAGAGAGAGAGAGAGAGAGAGAGAGAGAGATCATGTTTGTCTTAACCAAATATTTTCTAATCGAATTTTTTATGAAACATGGTGAGAACATTGTTTCTGGTTTCTAGCTAGTTTTAGTTCAACGTGTCTTCTCTTTGTGTGTATTTTGTGCGTGGTTGGAGAGAATAGGTGGGGAGAGTATAGAGAGAGTCGGAAAAAAATCTATCTAGTTGACGTATATATAGCCTGTAAATTGAATTATTTATCGCCAGCTATTCGGTTGAGACACCTTCATTTGAATTTTGTTCGAGCGTTACTACTATGCACAATGACTATCCACAACGCCTAGCACAAAAATCCAGGTCACAAAAGCACCTCTTTACTCAGAGCGTCGACGTGGAGGAGATCGTTTGCGTGTTTGATGATTCCATATGTGCACATTCCATCAACCAGTGCTCTTGATATGTGATATGCTGAAACATAGAAGTGCAGTGGCATATTTGTCACGCCAGCGCTCGAAATCGACAGATATCTTTCCTCAAGCTCTGAATATCTGCCTGCCGACAGGTTTGTGTTACAGCTGTCGAAGGACATGAAGTAAGACGGCTTATCGTATGACTTATGTGCAAAGTAGCCTCGTTATACTGCCACATTTCTGGTACATGTCTATACTACTAATGGTACAACATTCGTACTAGGCTTCAAATGATAGTACTAAAGTCACAGAATTAATTAGCAAAGGTGAGTTTAGAAGCTTGTCAATGACTTGGCGTTATATTGAAGTTTAGGGCCCGTTTGGGGTTCAGAGTCAGTGATATCGTAGGTGTTCTCATAGACATAGTCCTCTTCTCCGACACAGATTTTAGCGATTTATTGTAATACTATGTATTTGATGAAAATTACATAGGCGGATCCAGAGGGAGGGTGTAGGGGTGCGCACCCCCTTGTTTTCCTGAAATTTTATTAAATGACCATTGAAACGCTCGTGAAAATGAAGTGTGCAACCCCACACACACACCCCTCCCTTTCTCAATAGTGTGCACCCACCCCCCTTTCTCAAAAAGCTGTGTCCGCTCCTGCATTAGATACACGCTGTTTATATCCTTTGGCGTAAAATCAGATAATGGGTTTGTCGTCACAAATTATTGATTTTACTTACATTGGTACCATGCAATGTCATTATGCAATGGACCCGTGAAGATCCGGGTTAGAAAATTGATCTTCTGTAACCCATGCTTGTCGTAAGAGGCGACTGACGGGATCGGGTGGTTAGGCTCGCTGACTTGGTTGACACATGTCCTCGGTTCCCAATTGCGAATATCGATGCTCATGCTGTTGATCACGGGATTGTCTGGTCCAGACTCGATTATTTACAGACAGCTGCCATATTGCTGGAATATTGCTGAGTGTGGCGTAAAACTAAACCCACTCACTCACTCATTATGCAATGGAGGGGTTGGGGGTTAGCAACATGACTGAACGTCTTGGGGCACGTCTACTGATCAGTGTCAGTGCTTGTGATATTATGTGAGCTTCCGACACAGCGTCACGGATGGGTGGAGCTTGAGAATCACAGGACATGAGTGGGTTGAGTTAGTGACATGTTGAAGAAATAGTGATTCTGACATAGGGGGCACGATAGGTGGAGATTCTGTCATAGGGGACGAAGAAATAAACCAAATTTCATTAGATTTTTAATCCAAGCGATGCGGTTCGCAAAAGAGGGTTCAACATGGGAAAGGCAGAATTTCTGCAAATCCATCATTCTGCTATTCATTGATGATCTCACAGAAACAGTTTTTAGTATCCCAGAGAACAATTTCATCGTGTCCCTAAGAGAGAAGCAGTTTTTAGTATCCTAGAGAACAATGACATCTTGTCCCTCAGACAGAAGCACTTTTTAGTATCCCAGAGAACAATTACTTCGTGTCCCTAAGAGAGAAGCAGTTTTTAGCATCATAGAGAAAAATTACATCGTGTCCCTTTGAGAGAAACAGGTTTTAGTTTCCCAGAGAACAATTACATCGTGTCCCTCAAAAGAGAAGAAGCAAAAGAACAATTTATCGTGTCCCTAAAAAATGCACTTTTAGTAAATGAACAATTACATCGTGTCCCTCAAACAGAAGAAGTTTTAATATCCAAAGAACAATTACATCGTGTCCCTACAAACAGAAGCACTTTTAGTATCCAAAATGAACAATTACATCGTGTCCCTCAAACAGATGCAGTTTTAGTATCCAAAAGTACAATTACATCGTGTCCCTCAAACAGAAGCACTTTTAGTATCCAAAAGAACAATTATATCGTGTCCCTCAAACAGAAGCACTTTTAGTATCAAAATGAACAATTACGTCGTGTCCCCCAAACAGAAGCACTTTTAGTATCCAAAAGAACAATTACATCGTGTCCCTCAAATAGAAGCACTTTTAGTATCCAAAAGAACAATTACATCGTGTCCCTCAAACAGATGCAGTTTTAGTATCCAAATGAACAATTACATCGTGTCCCTCAAACAGAAGCACTTTTAGTATCAAAAAGAACAATTACATCGTGTCCCTTTGAGAGAAACAGGTTTTAGTATCCCAGATAACAATTACACTGTGTCCCTCAAACAGAACCACTTTTAGTATCCAAATGAGCAATTATATCGTGTCCCTCAAACAGAAGCACTTTTAGTATCAAAATGAACAATTACGTCGTGTCCCTCAAACAGTAGCGGGGCGATGGGGTAGTCGCGTGGTTAAAGCGTTGGCTCGTCACGCCGAAGACCCGGGTTCGAATCCCCACATGCGTACAATGTGTGAGGCCCATTTCTGGTGTCCCCCGCCGTGATGTTGTTGGAATATTGCTAAAAGCGGCGTAAAACCAAACTCAGTCAGTCAGTCAGTCAAACAGAAGCACTTTTAGTATCCAAAAGAACAATTACATCGTGTCCCTCAAACAGAAGAACTTTTAGTATCCAAAAGAACAATTACATCGTGTCCCTCAAACAGAAGCAGTTTTAGTATCAAAAAGAACAATTACATCGTGTCCCTCAAAGAGAAACAGTTTTAGTATCCCAAAGAAGAATTTCATCGTTTAATCTAACAGAAACAGTTTATGTGTCAAAATGAAGCATTATGTTTTGTTCCTCAGCTTAAAGCAATAAAGTAGTTAGAATGAGTATGGTTATATGCTGCTTTTAGAAATATATCAAGGTGATGGACACAAGAAAAGGGCTTCACAAGCTGCACAGCGCTGGGGAATAGAGCCCGTTTTCAGCGTGGGTTATATCCACAAGGGTGCACCAGTGTATGCTATTGAGTTGATCGTACAATGCACTAGAGGCCAGGTCAATGTTTTCCTGTTATATAGCAGGACTATACCTTTACCCTTTGTCATGATATTCCAGACAGGTCGAAAGTCAGGTCGCGATAAGATATTGAACACGATAAGAAACATTTCATGGTCCAGCAGACAAAGTCCATCATCAGGAGGAGCGAATGCCGGGTTAGTAGTAGTAAATGCGTTTTGATACCGTACGTACATACTGGCAGTAACTAGTATTTTAAATTAGACCCGCATAAAGCGTTTAGCAATTTGCAGCGTTTCAGTACCTAACGGTTGGATAGTGAGTGAGTTTAGTTTTACGCCGCTTTTAGAATATTCCAGCAATATCATGGCAGGGGACACCAGATATGGGCTTCTCACATTGTACTCTTGTGGGGTATCGAACCCGGGTCTTCGGCGTGACGAGTGAACGCTTTAACCACTAGGCTACCCCACCTCCCCTAAAGGCCGGATAGATGTATCGTGGTACACTTAATTGGGATATATAGAATATTCGATTAAACGATACATTCGCATTTCAAACATCCGTCAAATCAGACCATCCGATCCTTGACATCTCGACACACGACCTCTTGCCACCAGAAAGCCATCAAGATCCGGGTTTTGGGCGTTGTAGCCTAGTGGTTGAAGCGTTCGCGCAGAACCATGTACGGGTACAATGAGTGAAGCCCATTTCAGGTGTCCCTTGCCTTGATATTGCTGGAATATTGCTAAAAGCGGTGTAACATAAAACTCACTCAGTCAGTCAGTCTTTCCGCCAGCATAGGGTGCTCTGGACCATTTCTGGACTGTTTGTATGAATGCGTTTGAATGCGATTGAATGCGCTTGAATGCCGCATCATTGACCTCTCAACCATTCACAGCGTTTGTTTGCTTTCAGATGACCTAGAAGAGCGGTTCAGTTATATCGCAGCATGTCGTCTCAAATGCATCGAAGAGTTTTACCTTGAACCAGTTCACCACCTGTGTTCTACTTTCAAGATCTCTGCACCGCCCGACCTGATAGTGACAAAACCCCAGTGCTTTCTGTGTTCTAATGACCGTGTGTTAACACATATATAGTTAGTAGGCCAGTACGCCTTGACCATTGACAGCTGACCTATTTGATAAGACGTGATATGGCGATTTACTCTAGATTCATCTCCCCATCCAGAATCAGCTGAGTAGGACACTCCGTGACACTGTATGTGACACCGAACACCGACGTAACGCGGAGGCAGGTGAGTTCTTTTAAAACAGCCCTTGCTTTGTTAGAATATTATGTCATTCATCAGACTTTCGAATTCGTATTGTATAGATATAGGAACTGTATCCAGCATATCACTGTACCTACATGCACAGTATGTGGTGTTGCATAGAATTGTAGTCCATTGCCTGTCCCGGACTCTTGAATTTGCTGAAATACTCGAATCATCTTTCGCGTTTATTTAAGTTTTTATTTTTATATAATTTGGATAAGGGAGGTAACTGATGAGATTCAGATATCTGGAAATTCGTTTATCCGTACAATATGTGGGAACACGAGAGTCCAGATAAGCGAGGTTCGCTATTGGTTTGCATAGTGGTTTAAACTATCGCTTGTTATGAGTGAATGAGTTTAGTTTTACGCCGCACTCAGTAATATTCCAGCGCAATTGGGAACCGATGACATGTGTCAACCAAGTCAGCGAGCCTGACCACCCGATCCCGTTAGTCGTCTCTTACGACAAGCATGGGTTGCTGAAGATCAATATTCTAACCCGGACCTTCACGGGTGTCGCTTGTTATGGCGAAGGTGAATTGGTTGATGGCCATTTAACACACAGAGCGTTCCTTACATAATATTCCATTATTAGTCAGAAGTGTTGATAATGAATTCCAGCAAAGTTTGGGCAGGAATAAGCTACTGCAACCGTGTATACAAAAACATTGTTCACCACAGTCAGTATGAAAAGGAGGTAATCGCCAACTCAGGATTTACCCACTGTGACGTCATGATAATTTCAGTAAACATATCAACGGTTTACAACGGAAATCAATGCTAACATTTCGCGTTATTGGTAATTCGTTATTCGTTCCAGATCTATATCTAAATTCATTACACATCAATTATATCGAATGTTTAATTTGTCGGCTCTTGTTGACGTATGACATAAACATCGTTTATCGTTTCTGCACAATGTACTTACTCAAGCAATACACTGTAACGTCACGTACGACAGGCAAATTATCATATATAACACAAACACACATGCACACACGTTCACACACATATATTGTATATACATTTATATATGTGTGTGTACGTGTGTGTGCGTGTGTTTGTGTTTATATATACTCATGCCAATAATGGTTGTCACCCCTTCAATTTTTAATTGGGGGGGGGTGGGGAGGGGGTGACAACCATTATTGGCATGAGTATATATAAGCATGTGAGCAGTAAATACACATGAGCATCACGCCATATTATCAACATTGTTTCTATATGGATCACTGACTTCATATCATGCATAGCCTATCAATATATATGTAAATATATAACCCAGTTTACCTCATCAATGTATAATACACACCATGAATACCGCGCATCATGTGCATTCAGCTGTCAGCTGTCAGTCTTGTCTGATGACCGACAGAAATCAACACGTTTAAATACATGTATTAACGTTTTTGTCTGGGACAACTAGAAGCCAGGCATTACGGGTGAGTGATATAGAATTTAACGTCACATTGTATTGTATTTGCCCTGTACGACATGGGTGTAGCATCTCATATTGTAGGACATTTAATGTGCCATTCTGAACAGGTACATGATGTTTCATAAATACTGATTATTGATTATTTCTTATGTACAAATGTTGTATTACATAGTGTTGTATTATTGCATAGATGTCTGTTGTGCAGATATCTCTCGCTGTATTGATAGATGTCCAGGGTGTTGTATTACATAGTGTTGTATTATTGCATAGATGTCTGTTGTGCAGATATCTCTCGCTGTATTGATAGATGTCCAGGGTGTTGTATTACATAGTGTTGTATTATTGCATAGATGTCTGTTTTGCAGATATCTCTCGCTGTATTGATAGATGTCCAGGGTGTTGTATTACATAGTGTTGTATTATTGCATAGATGTCTGTTTTGCAGATATCTCTCGCTGTATTGATAGATGTCCAGGGTGTTGTATTACATAGTGTTGTATTATTGCATAGATGTCTGTTGTGCAGATATCTCTCGCTGTATTGATAGATGTCCAGGGTGTTGTATTACATAGTGTTGTATTATTGCATAGATGTGTGTTGTGCAGATATCTCTCGCTGTATTGATAGATGTCCAGGGTGTTGTATTACATAGTGTGTATTATTGCATAGATGTGTGTTGTGCAGATATCTCTCGCTGTATTGATAGATATCCAGGGTGTTGTATAATATTGTTACATCATCGTGATAAAAAACAACTACCGCAGTGTATTGTACACGGAAAGATGCAAGACGTCGAGTCGTTCATAATTGAAGGGGCGGTGGGGTTACCTAGTGGTTAAAACGCGCTCTCTCTCTCTCTCTCTCTCTCTCTCTCTCTCTCTCTCTCTCTCTCTCTCTCTCTCTCTCTCTCTCTCTCTCTCTCTCTCTCTCTCTCTCTCTCTCTCTCTCTCTCTCTCTTATAAACTCTTTACTCTCTCTGTCCACAAGGTTTTCATTATGTGAGTGAGTGATTCGCTTTACTATGGTCCATATAACCTCATTAACGTCACTTTTCGCCAACGTCACCACAGGTGGTAATCGACGTTACGTGTTTTAACTGCATCCGAGGGGGACGTGGGGGGAGTTTTCAAAGTTTACCACTGTTTTTGTGTCTGAGGTGTCCTTTGGAATATCGTGAATTTAAGCCATGGGCATGCGAGAATAGGATTACATCTGGAGGTCAATAGTGTAACGTTACAAGATACATATACGCTAAGTTAAACAAGGGTAAGCGATATACACGATAAACGTACGTAATATTGACACTTGTGTTTGAACAAGCCGGTACGGTTCGCCTGACCTCGTTCTGTATGTGTTCCTTTGTGACCCCGGTGACATGTGGCTGTTATCGCATATAGGAGCCATCTTTTAGTGGGTGTGTCACGGTGAGACATGACTGACAAGGTCAAACATTAAAACTCACATTTGTATGATTTTTTGAAATAAAAATAGATAAATGTGATCGCCGAAATGTGTAGATCTAAAGTCTTATACAATATTTGCTAATAAGCACTATTTCACACAACATAATAAATGCATTTCTCTCAATATTTTAAATACTACCAATCAGCCCTCAGGGAAGCTACCATATAATTTATTCCAAAAACAATTGACCTATTAAGATATTAAACTAAAAAGTTCGAATGAATAAATGCAGCGTAGCAATAAACCGACTCTCGTGCTCTCTACCGGCTGAACATTATTTCATGCGAACCCGCGTGCGACAGGCTTCCATGTACGGAGCAATTGTTTACATTCCATATATGGCAAGTGTTCTCTGTTTGAAAGCTGTTCGCCTCGCAGTTTCAATTATCGATTTCAGACAAGCCGTAAGGGATAATAACCTCTAAAGTCTTTTATTGCATCAATAGGAAGCTAAAGTGAGTGCATACATTTGTATGTCCCAATATATATCATATAGGCCAAAATATTGTCAGGGTAGTCACAGATGACAAAAGTTCAAATTCCCTCACTTTTCCCTGACCAATTTGATTTTCAGCTGATCAAAATTAGAAGAAAACAAATACAATTTTGCCCCCAACCTCCTCTACAGCCGATCTTCCACCCATCTTACTTAAGACAAAGTGAAATCTTACGACAAAGTTATCACATGTAATCAAACAAATACAGAGATCCATCTAACATCAAGATGAAGTGTATGACCCAGAAATATTACCTCTGGCAAACTCTGACATAAGAGTTTTCAACATTGATATAACATATGAACTTCAACATTAGAACTGAACAAACCAACTACTTGTCAGTGTCTCATACTCAGATGTCTAACTGAAGATCAACACTGGATGGATGATTATCTTGATAAACTCATCTCAACATTAACAACTAAACAAACCAACTCCTTGTCAGTGTCTCATACTCAGATGTCTAACTGAAGATCAACACGGGATGACTGATTATCATGATAAACTCATCTCAACATTAACAACTAAACAAACCAACTCCTTGTCAGTGTCTCATACTGAGATGTCTAACTGAAGATCAACACGGGATGACTGATTATCATGATAAACTCATCTCAACATTAACAACTAAACAAACCAACTCCTTGTCAGTGTCTCATACTGAGCTGTCTAACTGAAGATCAACACTGGATGACTGATTATCATGATAAACTCATCTCAACATTAACAACTAAACAAACCAACTCCTTTGCCAGTGTCTCATACTGAGCTGTCTAACTGAAGATCAACACTGGATGACTGATTATCATGATAAACTCATCTCAACATTAACAACTAAACAAACCAACTCCTTGTCAGTGTCTCATACTGAGCTGTCTAACTGAAGATCAACACTGGATGACTGATTATCATGATAAACTCATCTCAACATTAACAACTAAACAAACCAACTCCTTGCCAGTGTCTCATACTGAGCTGTCTAACTGAAGATCAACACTGGATGACTGATTATCATGATAAACTCATCTCAACATTAACAACTAAACAAACCAACTCCTTGTCAGTGTCTCATACTGAGCTGTCTAACTGAAGATCAACACGGGATGACTGATTATCATGATAAACTCATCTCAACATTAACAACTAAACAAACCAACTCCTTGTCAGTGTCTCATACTGAGCTGTCTAACTGAAGATCAACACGGGATGAATGATTATCATGAAAAACTCATCTCAATATTAACAACTAAACAAACCAACTACTTGTCAGTGTCTCATACTGAGCTGTCTAACTGAAGATCAACACTGGATGACTGATTATCATGATAAACTCATCTCAACATTAACAACTAAACAAACCAACTCTCTTTGTCAGAGTCTCATACTGAGCTGTCTAACTGAAGATCAACACTGGATGACTGATTATCATGATAAACTCATCTCAACATTAACAACTAAACAAACCAACTCCTTGCCAGAGTCTCATACTGAGTTGTCTAACTGAAGATCAACACTGGATGACTGATTATCATGATAAACTCATCTCAACATTAACAACTAAACAAACCAACTCCTTGTCAG